GTGAGGTTTTTAATGTTAGCTGTAGGCTTGTAGCATATTACAGTTTTGTGAGGTTTTAGAGTACAAACCAAAGAAAGATTTTCATTATATAAATTATTAGTATTGTGGGATCATTGTAGACAAACAATTACTAAATCCAGCTGGGTGTGATTTCACCAAATGGTTATAAACTTTGATGTGTTTCTTGAATTATCATACTGCTTACGCAATTTCCATGCCAAGACGACCTTTAACGTCATGAATTTCTGTTATCGGTGTATTTTCACGTTGAATCCAACCCTTCGTACAACCACTAAAGACGTGAATCGTAGCCGTCCAATATTTTCATTTTGTCTTTCTTGGTTGCATATCCCTTTTTAAGGGGTGATTTGGTATAAATTATTTTGGATTTAATTAGATTCGTTGTATAACCAGAGTTAATTTTGAAAAGTTTGGTTAACTACTCACATTTCATTTATGCAAATTAACTACTCACAAACACAAAATCATTACTAAATTAGCAACAAATACATACTTTATAGCACAATTATCAGCTAACTTACCACAAAATCAACCACTCACATCACATGATGATATTTCACTTCCACTCGAGCATGTCGAGCAGCCACAAGACCTGATCCTCCCGATTCGTGGCATCACAAAAATCGAGCTCCACCGCAAAAACGTCAATGGCGGCTCCTTCCCCACAGTGGCCCGTGAAAGCAACGAGGCCCAAGCCCGTATGCCCGAAACAAATGGATGCTCGGGTGGAATGTCAAGATAGTCAAACGCCATGGCCCGATTTGTTGACCAGTCAATGTACTCAGAAAACATTTTAGGGAGTCAATTTCATGCATGTAAAAGTTACTAATTATTTGTAATATTTACATTTTTCAGTATTCTCCATACATTATAAACATTATAGTTTATAGATCATCATTGTCACACAACAGCTTTCAAAATGATGGACCACTCAATCTCAGCTTTTACTTTCTCTCTTCTTGATATAGTCAAGACTCGCATTGCTTCCAAATTTAGGACAATTGATGATCTTCACGGTTTTATTGAACTATTAACAAATTTTACAATTTGTTACTCATTTTCACAAAAGTATATATGTTTATGTATCATATTTTGATGGGTTGTTCATTTTCCTAATATATCTCCCTAAGAAACCATGCAAATATTTTATATGAATTTCCAATACTAACAAAGTCACATCCAAATATCAAAAATCAATTAATATTTCACCCCCAAATTCTCGACATTTATTATTTTCCGGAGTGTGTGAAATGAAAATCAACACAATGTACGCAATAGACAAACTATAATTAATTATTTGCGCGATTTAATTAATATTCATAAGAGAGGACCAAAATTTCTTTTTTAAAAAAAAAAAAGAAGAAAAAATACAGCAACATTTCTTCTTCATTTTTTAACTACTAGGCGAAATCTCAATTTTTCTGAGATTGTGAACCATAAAATCCGACCAATTTCTGCAGAACAAAGACCTGAGTTTTCAGACGCACGATGTAGTCGGCGGCTTCCCGGAACAGCTGGTCGGGATTTTCTCCGGCGTCCTGCGAACGGATAAGGTCTCTGAGGGTCTCCAGCTTGTCGGAAACCACCGCGCCGTCGGCGGCACTATGCGCGGGCCCACGGCGGCGGAATTGAGGCGTCGCAGTGGGGATTTTGTTCGATCTTATCCTCGGCCTCCCGACGGCTGAGATTCTCGGCTTCGAGCCCATCGCGGCGGCGGACGGAATTTGGAGCGGCGGTGTGTAAAGCTGTAACGGATTACGGAGAAATGGGTTGCGAAGGTATTTAATATAAAGTAATGGGGGTACGGTTTGAAAGGTACACACCAATGTTACTCAAGATATTTATTGTTAGGAAATTGCATTTCTAATATGTTTCAAATATTAATAATAATAAAAAAAGGTACATTATATAATAGAAAATGATACTTTCAAGATAATTATTTTTAATGGTTATTGGAACAATATTTTTCACCTCATATTATTATATTTTTGTGGGTCGGGTAATTTTTAAATGGGTCAATCTATCACAATGTGTGAGCGAGAAAAATCGGACGTATACTATCAAAAATTATACTTTTATTCAGTTTAGTAAAGATATTTTTTAAGTACTCGTTTGTAAAAAAAAATGGTCGGCCTAATTGTTAGACCTAACTACTCATTAAGAGCACTATGACAAAAAAAATGAAGAATACAAATTTTATACATTTTTTATTATTCTTACTATTTTCAAATCAATTGGTGACCAGAAAAGTAAATAAGATATTAGTTAATTTAATGAAATTAATCATAAGCCTCTCAATAAAAATCTAAATACTTTCAAGATTATTTTACGAGGTGACATAATCATTTGTATTTAAAAACCATTTAAATTATAAATTATTCCAAATTTATTTTTGATGTAGGTGTATTATTTTCTTTTCTCATATATCATTATTTTTAAAATATCGACCCAATTTTTCGTATGATTAATTGTTCATTTATTAAATAAGGAATAATAGGGGCCCCATTATAATAGGGGCCACTGTTTTCTAATTTCTTCACAGTAAAAATGATTTTAGTTTTTTTTTTATTAGCGTGAAAATTAGAAATAGAACTAAAATTAATAAAAGCTGTAAATATTGAACAATTCAAACATGCGTCCAGCGTCCGGCTTGCCGCAGTGAATTGGGCAAGCCCCCTGCAAATATTCCTGTTTTTTGAAGGGTACTTATGTAAATCTACACAGAAGAAAGCAACAAATTTGTAACCTACGTGAAAAATAGTTAGCGCGGGAAGATGGCACAAAAGCAAGCAACACGGAAGCGCTCTGCGCAGTGGTCCCTCGCCCCATGTGACCCATTTCCCAAAATACCCCTGTGGAGGATTTTTTATTTTTTTTTTCCTCGTATAGCGGCCGATTCTCGTAGCTCTCAATTAATTAAAATCAAGCTGAAAATAGTTTACATTATTTTTACTATAACATCAAATTACAATATTTTCAAGACATATATACATTTCTTATGAAAATTTTCATTTTTCGTCTCTCAGTGACTCAGTCAAGTTTTATTTCACTCAAACAACGAACAAATAAAAAAATTAAAAAAAATATATAATCTCAATTTTATCTACAACTCTATCAATACAATTAAATAGTAATCATTATTATACGTTTTCCTACAAAATTTTTATCTATATACTCACATATTATTAGCTATCAAATAATTTTTTTATATCACATCAATTTTAATTATTATATTTTTATCTTATACTTTCTTTTAAAAAAAAATTCAAAATCCTCAAACCCGCCTCAAAGTTTTGACTACAACTATATATTGGTAGGTCTTCTGTTAGGCCATCCTAACCATTAGGCTTACATGTTTTTCTGACCATATGCGTACTATCAATATAAATTATCATACTTTTAAGTTTTAACTAATAAAAATACAAATATGACATTTGATAATATAAATATATATTTTTATTCATAGAAAAAAACCATCGACCCATCTGACAATTAAGTTTTGTCTCACATAATAATTGTGATTATATGTATATATATATATATTATGTTTGGTAATTAAATAATTTGGCTTATAACTTATTTGGTTAGCTTATAGGCTTCGTATATTCAAATAAGTTTCGTTTCGTAAAAAAGCTCGAGTTTATCCCATAAGTTTTTTTTTAGGTAACTTTTCAAATAAGCTCGTCGAAATTTTTATTCCAGTTAGCTTATCAACTAATTTTACCAAACACTTTTATCATATAAACTAGTTTTTCAGTTATAAATCTAAATTAACTATAAGCTATAAGCTCAAAAATCAATTATAAGTTATAATCTAGTCAGCTATCAACAAACTTATTAGTTAGTTTTACACATTGCCATATATATATATATATATATATATATATAAAAGCAAGATTAATCAATTTGGTAACCTTGAGAGATAAATTCAGCTTACAACAAGAATTCAAGATTGAATTAGTTGCAATTATAAGCATCATTGGGCAATACAAGAAGTTTTATTTAACATACAAATAAAAGTGAATCCAATTTATACATAAACACTAAAGGGTATTCTTGTCATTTTACCCCATGAGGGGCTTTATGAGGGTGGGATTAATGCACATGGAGAGCACATGCACCATGGAAAAGAGGATTGTACCTTTGAGAGAGGGAGATTGCATGTGACACAGAGAGGTGAGACAGTGAAGCAGCATATGAATTGTACAATCATATTCTGCACATTCCCTGCATAGATATATGAATCCAATGCCAGTTGAGCCAAATAAGTGAAATAACATACTATTTTACTATTAATTTAATTGACACATATACATGAAAAAAAAAAAACAGTTGAGTAATTTGATGAACTCATATCATGACTCCATCACAAGGCCCATTATTGAGATAATAATTTATTATTTTGGCATATATTAATATTTATTTTGAGATATATGACAAAAAAGGAAAATATAAAATTGTATCTACAATAATATATGTCTTTGTAGAATAATTTAATACATATAAATTGTTTAATTGTTTGGGAACTGAATGAAAATATGAAATACATAATAAAATATTCCAAACAGTCCAATTTTGAACCGTGAGACAACAATTTTTTTAAGTAGTTTGTTGCTCTACAATTTTTCAATAGAATATTTAATTTTTTCATCGAAATTTTTTTCTTCGGTCAAATAATTGTATTTTCCTTGTAACAATCATATTTTTACATTAAATAAAGTTTGTTATAAATAGGCAAGCAAGTAGGTAATTATCTATGTTTCGAGTTTGAGCTACAATTAAAGAGAATTTAATTTATATACTAATCTAACCTACTCAATAATTTGTTACGGATAATGTAGGAATGTCTACATGTATTTAATATTTTCTTGCCTGAACATAATCTTGGGTAGAAAAGTTAATAAGAACAAAATGAAAATACATTAATTTCTAGTGTGGTACATTTTGTTTTTGACATAATAATTATATCACGTGTTTGCATGTGTTCTTTCCCCGGGTTATTTCGGTCAATTCATCTTGTTGTGGGCGATGCGACCAATGCACGTGATTGCAACGAGATTATTAAACTGTGGGACGTAATCTTCATATCATATGCAGTGTGCAGTGAGATTTTCAGATGCAAAAAGAGGAAAGATAAAAAAGAAAAATAACAATACCAAGTTAGAGTTTAATTATTTGGATCGAGCAAACAATACAACTCAGTTTGGTTCATAAAAGCTCAAACTCTACTCATTCTTTTACTCACACAATTCAATTTGGCTCGTAAAAGCTCGAACTCTGCCATTTGTTTACTTGAGCAGGTTAAGCCCGAATAACTAATTTATTAGACGAAACATCTCAGTATCTTTTTATAAGTTTCAAAACGAATAGTCGAGCCCAACATTCGCAAATGGTCTATTTGCGATTTTAGGTTTGGTAACTATTCGCAAAATATTTTCACTACCCGCAAGTGTATGGTGTAGCTATAGTAAGCGGAGATCAAGGTCGTATTCCACAGAGATTGTTGTTCAAATAATTAAGTACCAAAATATAGACGATTAAATATTATTTAGACTAACTCAAATTTGAATGGTGATTTAATTCTAAACTAATGAAAAACGTTAAACTAATGCTAACAACTAATGAGGCTTATTCGAAATAAATCACGATTGAGAAAATAGATTCTAGGCTAAGTTTTTCTCGGGGTTATTTTAGCAAAGATTTCTTATTCAGTCAAACCTTATTTAATTCTACCAATCCTAGAGATAATCACTAATGTAATTTAACCTCTTTTGGAGCAAGCTAAATCGTTGATTATTAATTGTTATCTATCTCCTCTCGGTCTCAAGATGAACAAATAATAATTCCCCTAACTCCTAAGATTCTAGTTCTCTCAAAAGATTCTGTCAACCTCTCGGTCTGTTTTGTTTCCTACGTTATGAATAATTTCCCAATACTGGTGATTTTAAAATGTAATTAATAAAGTTGATATGATGTAAAAATAGAATATAGATAATTAGAAATGATATTAGTTAAACATAAGAGTGGATAATAGTAAGTAAAATTGATGTGGTGTGAGGATAATTGATTGTTATAATTATATTAATAATATTGACTATTTGTGGATAATTAAGTTGAATTAAATTTGAGTTGGATTTTGAGTTATATAGTGTAAAAAAACTATTCCATCAATCAAAACTAGATATAATTGATAATCAATTGCGTCCTAAATTATCTCATTGAGTTAAAAACTTCAAAACTTCAAGAATCAACTACAAAAAAAACATTAATCAAATTACCACAACAAATTGGGCAATTGTAGATTTGTCATATCCGTTAACTGCAATTCGGGTGTTCTCTTAAATCTTCACCTGCAGGCCGCTAATCGGAAAAAGTGGCGAGTAGATTTAGAATTGTACGATCGACTACTAAATCGAGGAAATTGTCAAAAGTGCCCTAAGAGAAGTAGAGAACCATTCAAGTTTTCACCTGCTAAAGCCAAAACCTTTAAGAAACGATTACTATTTTCATCTTTTATGAGCTAGCCGTATGATGCAAATAACAAATGCTCTCTAATATATTAACAATTGACTTGTTAATTGTTATCCTTTTGCTTCATTTCAAAGGACGGTATGTATCCTTTAACGATTGACTTGTTATCCTTTAACAATTGTGTGTGATAACAAACAATAGCAAATATATCAAATATTGATATATATGCGCATCACCGTATTCACGATCGCCCATAAGCAACAAATTTTACTCGAAACAAATGAAATTCACTACAAAATAAGCCAAAATACTGCTTCTAGTTCGACACCACAAGCATAAAACCTCATCAGAAAACACATATCCACTAAAAAGTCCACTAGTAAAATATCCAACAGAAAGATTACAAAAAAGAAAACAAAAAATGATGGGTAAACTATTCAATTACACTCTCTCCCCTCCTCCAATATCTGCCCCTCCAAAGCCATAGCTTCCACCACCCAACTCGACCCCACCACCGGCCACCGGTTCCTGGTTTCCGGCAAAGTTTCCATTTCCACCGCCGGAGTAGTCGCCACCGCCGCCGGAGAACACATTGCCGCCACCAGAGTAGTCGCCACTGCCGCCAGAGAAGCCATTGCCACTGGAGGAGTTGTTGCCACTGCCACCGGAGAACCCATTGCCGCCACCGGAGTAGTCGCCACTGCCGCCGGAGAACCCGCCAGAGCCGCCGCCGGCCCACCCAACGTTGCCAGAGTAGCTGCCATTTCCACCACCGGAATAATTGCCGCCGCCTCCGCCGGAGGAGTAGTCGCCGGAGGTACCATAGCCACCGCCGTTGCCGCCACCATAGCCCCATTCACGAGGTTTTTCTTTAGCATAGTTCACCGTGATTCTACGCCCATCAAGATCCTGATTTTTGTGATTAGATTTTTAAGTACACATTAAATCATCAAACAAGTTTGGGATTTATACTCTTGAGAAAGTACCATTCTTGAAACTGAGTTACTACTTCAAAAGGTGGACAAACAAAAAAAAAAAAAATACAATCTTTCTAGATGTAGCTTTTCAATCTAAAACTTTTACTGTTCTATAAACTTATTTTCCATTAATGAGTTAACATAAAACCGAAGCTGCTTAAGTACCTGGCCATCAAGTCCCTGGATGGCACTCGAAGCAGCCTCAGCAGATGAGAAGGTCACAAAGCCAAATCCACGAGAATAACCAGTTTCACGGTCCGTAATAATTTTAACTGCAAATATTCAAATAGGAACTCGTAAAATATTGAACGGTTGCCATCTATAAAAGAATCTATCTAAAAACATACATTACCATATTACAAAGTGTATACCCAATATTTCTTATTTACTAAGCATTCATAAAGTATCGGAGTCAATTTAATTTTCACCTTATTAGTATATTTCTTACAAGGTAAAAGGGACAAAAAAAAAAGCTAAGCAATGCAGTCGCATCAAGGGCTTTAGGAGATGATACCGTAATCAACATCACCATAGCGAGAAAAATGATCCCTCACAGTTTGCTCATCCGTTCTATAACCGAGACCTGCAGTAAGATACTAGCATAGTGTGTAAAACTGCCAAAAAATTAAAACAATTAACCACTTGCAAAATGAAGACCAAACCTCCAACAAAGAGCTTTGTAGTCAAATTCGTGCTCATGCTCCTTATCGCCTGAAAAAATGAAGGGTTTGAGGCAGAAAATGCTGGTGTGATATGTTTGCTGACATTGTGTTTTAGCAATGCTCCAACTCGGTTCAGGAAAGCCATTGTTGTACCTAGTACAAGGGTCCACCAAAAACTAAACGATTAAAAATATAGGGATGACAGCTAAAAAAGAAGGGTAGAACAAGAGGTACACGCAAAGACACTAAGAAAATTATGATGCAGTGTCAAACAGAATAATAAGGTGTCAATTGAAGCTTAAGTAAGAACTTATCAAACTCGCAGCTTTATTGAAAATGATTTAATAGGCTCAAATTAAAGGTCAATCCCCAAATATCTTGCGCCCTTTTAAAGGGAAAAAAAAAATCCCCAAATATCTTGTGGGTTTTAATGAACCCTATTATGCTTCTGATATATCATGCCCAGCCAAGAAACAGAGAGAAGGTAAATCCCATTTTTCAAAAGCACAGAAAACCCCTTGTGCTCCACAACAATTCATTAACTAACGGCAATCACACCCAAGAAAATGACAAATACATTACATCAAAAAGCTGTCATTTTTCCCATTTTATTCTGAATAACAGAGTAATATAACGAGCAAAACACCATCGCGAAAACACAGGATACAACAAACAGCGAATAACCATTTATTGACAGCCCAGACAGAAAGTTAGACCTCCTACGCACAGTTCTATATTTCTAAAAAAGTAAAAACGCAATAACATCAACAAAAATGAATAGATCTCTCCATAAACCCTACACCTCATCGATAATTAAAAAAAAAACCTGAATCGACCAAAATATTGCCGCGGAAGATCAAAGGAAATGTAAATGGAAATGGAAATGGAAATGGGGTTTAGGGTTTAAGCAGACAAGCGGGGAGCTTAATTCCTGAATAAAAACCTGGTCTTTTTTTTTTTAGAGAGCGAATCTCGTATGTGGGCAGGTGTACAGTAAATAATTTGTGCTCAGTTGATCAATATCGTTGATTAGAGCAGATGGTCTCAACCGTTAGATTTGTGCAAGGCATTGGTCTCAAACTAGTGGCCATGCTCATGTCAATTGCAAGGGACAGTAATAATAAATCGTATAAACTAAAGCATTAAACGATTCGTGTAAAAATAATTTTTAATATTAATATTAATTTTTATTTTTATGATATGTAATAAATTAATTTATAATAATTAAAAACCACATTGTGGGAAATAAATCTCTTCTATAATAAAGTTTTTATTTATTTTCATTCTACGATTTTATAATTTATTTATCAATGTAAATGTAATTTACAATAAGTTCATTAAGGAAATAAATCAAATATTCAAGAAAAAAAATGATATAAAAAAATCTCTTTTAGATTCTAGTATATTTAAAATCTTAACTAATAATATTTATATTAAATTCGTGAAAGAGAAATATATAGCTTAAAAACTATGTTAATTTGTTGACCAATTATTAAATATATCGATTTACATAATTGTAGGTGTAACAGTTGGAGATATCAATAACTAGCAATATTAAATTAGCACACAATAATATTTAATTATTATACAATTATCATGCATTTTAAAGTTATTTAAAAAAAAAAATAGTGATGTAGCTCTCAAAATAACTCGGTAGACCGGCCTAAGCATGTGGCTCGACTAGGCTGGTCTAGGAGAGCTTTAGTATGTCCAAAGATAAGCTATTCGTCCAAGTTGCTCGTATACGGGCTTAAGGTACCGACCAACCGAAGAACGCGACTTGGAGGTGCAGGCCGACCTCTAGGAGCCCGGAAATACATCCGACCTTGAGGTATTGAGATTGTATGACCCGAGGTTAGATTAGACCTCAGGAAGAAGTCGTGTTATAGACCTTAAGACGAGGTCAAGTCGGTTTGTTAAATAAAAGAGCGAGCTTGAGTTTGAGCTCGAATCATTTAGTAGTACTAATGAGACGATCTTGAGTTTCAACGAGCCGAACTATATAAAATTATATAATTTCGAACCTTAACAAGCTTGTTGAGCCAAGCCGAACCGAGCTCGACTTGTTAACAAAACGAGATTTAAGTTGGCTTGAGCTAATGTATATGAATAGATTAAATGTTATTATATTGTTGAAAACATAAAGGTACACATGTGTATCATTATTTTAAATAATAAAAGTAATTGTTATATTTAATAGAAATATTTCATTATACACATTAATTTATATTTAAAATCATGAAAGATTAAAATGCTTGGAAAAATATAGTTACATTATTGTGAAACTTAAAAATAATTTAAAAAATTACAAATAAAAATTGTGAAGTTATTAACAATATTTATTTTATACATATATTTACATATGTGATTGAAAAGTATTATTTGTAGTAGAATAGTATAAAACTAGAGTGTTATTTTAAATAATTATCTCTCTCAATTAGTCTTTCATTATTTGTTGATATTTATTTTTTATAATTTCACAATACAAATGTAAATTTTTCTATTATATGGCTATTTATGATTAACATTATATGGCTATTTATATTTTAATCATCCATGTAGATGTGGTATAGGCGCATATATACTAATATAAAACGGTTGTTGGAAAAATGTTAAAATAGTAAGTTTGACTGGAAAAATAAATGTTATTTGAAGTAATAATTCAAAACACATGTGCAATAAATGAAATTATCAATCTTTTCAAAAACTACAAATTTTCGTGATTTAATGTTAGTTTAAATTTTAAACTACTACAAACTGATGGCAAACAAAAATTATTAAAATATATACATACCAAAATATCGAATGTCGTAGATATCTTTATTGAAAATATAAAAACCGATTTTTATTTTATTTTATCAATATACTATCCTTTATTAATATGTATCTCCATTCTCCATTACTTATTCCTTCATTGATATCGATCCTTTTTATGTTCATGGATATTTCATTCGCAGAAAATGAAAATCGCTTTAAATTCGTTAATTTACAACTAAGATCATATTTTTCATTCACAAAAGTTATATTCTATAGTTTTTCCAAAACCACAGACAAATATAATATATATGTACGAATTATGCATATTTATTTAAATATGCATGAATTGAGATTATTTTCCATAATTACATTACTATTTCAATAGAGGGTGTTTAATAGGTTCTTCTCCGTGAATTAGGATAAAACGTATTATAGTTGTAAAAAGTTTGACATATAAGCAATGTCTCAAGAACAATAAAATGTATTTTTGTGTATAATAATTTTTCTGGACCAATGCTATGTTGACATAATTTATTCAAAATAATAATTGACATAATAATGTGTAAGTATTTTGAATTGTTGATTTTAAAGATAACGTGTGAAATCACAATATTGTGAAACTAGTGTATTATATCAAATTAAGGGAGCGATTGAGTACGAATCCAACCGGTTATGATCCAACTCGATTGGCTAAAGTGAGTTAAAGTAAGTTATTTTAAATAAAGTAGATTGAGTGATGATTTTGAATTTAAAATTAAATAATATTTAAAATGTAATGATTAAAAGGAGAATTATTGAAAGTGATAGATAGTCAAAATTACATAAGTGAATTAAAATTGATATGATACGTGAGAATTATTGATTTATTTTATTTAATTTATATTTATAAAAAAAGTATGAGAATTAAGTTGAGTTAGATTTTGAGTTAGACGATTGAATATGAAATAACTCAACGTGTTATAATCGGTTAAAACAATCATAACTCATATTCAATCGCCGCCGGATCCATTTTTTTACAGGCATAATTATTGGTCAATGTAACCTATTCATGGTGTCGGAAAACAATTTCAAAGAAAGATAAATCTTAGCCGAGGTTGATAACTCTAATATTGTTCAAATGGTCTTGAACAATAAAGAATCTACAGAGATGCATAGATGTATGATTTTGGCTATCATGACCTCTTGAGGTGCATTTAGGAGGTGGTGATTTGCCACAACTATAAAAGGAAGCCAATTTTGCTTCCTTCATTGTTAAAAAAAATAAAAAAAAAATAAAAAAATTAAAAACCAACAGGAGAAATTGACTTATTAATTTCTTTACCATTACTTTTTCTCATAGTCCCATGGGAGACTGGCAAGTGGCAAGTGGGAACAGTCAACACTCAAAAGGGTCCCAGCAAAAAGCAGCTTCAAAGAAATTCTAAAGTCACACCTACGACCCATTTGACTATTATCATCATCAACAAAGATTTTTTATGGGTTTTCTTTTGCATCAAGCATTATGACCGAGTAAACATCCATGGAAAATTCCTTTGGATCCGCCATTAATACAGGCTTTTTTAGCTCCTGAGGTCCATTCAGTTAAAGGGTCAGTCAGATATTTTTCAGTTTTTTTTTTTCCTTTTTTAATTGCACCCTCTTTCTGCAAGCTTACTTTATTGTGCCTTGAGCAATTGAGGAGCTGAATTTTGCAGTTTTTAACTTCAGCCCTGTTGTTGATTTTTTGTGCTGGAAAAAAATACAGATTCGTTGTTTCAGAATGCCCTGTTTGTGAGTTTTTCTGTGTTGTTTGTGAAATTTGGCTGGGATTTTCTTTATGCTGGGTAGGTTCTTTTGGGGATTTTGTTGTGGTCATCGTAAGTTAATTGAATGGCTGCTTATGAAGCTGTTGGATAGAGATAAGATCTGGGAATTTGTTTTTTTCTTTTCCCCTAAATAAGAAGAATTNTTCTGTGGTCACTGTAAGTTAATTGAGTGACTGCATATGAAGCTGTTTGGATAGAGATAAGATATTGTGATTTGTTTCCCCCCCAAATTAGAAGAATTAGGGTTTCCTGTACAAAATGGGTGACTGTACAGCTACAACAACATCTGTAGTAGAAGAAAGGGAGGAAGAAGATTTAGTTGCTTCTGTTGAAGAAATTGTGAAAGCATTAGAATTGAAAAAGAAGCTTTCAGCTGATGCCAAGAAGATATTGGCCAATCTCGGTTCCCGATTAATCAGCATTAGCCGAGCCGCCGATGAAAGTGAAGATGAAGAAGAGCCCGAAGAAGAAAAAAAACAACACGTCGACGTCGAACGCCAGCTGGACACGATTCAGGACAAGATCATGTACTGGGAAAAGAATCATCAGTCCATGATATGGGACTCCGGCCCTCAAGAAGCTCACGAGTATCTCGAATCCACCGACCAAATTCGGAAAATAATCGATGAATTGGATAAATCGGAAAACGACTCGTTTTCCAGCAACTCACTGATTCGGGCCCACGACTTGCTCCAGCTGTCGATGTCCCGACTCGAGGACGAGTTCCGTCACCTTTTACTGCACAACAGACAGACTCTCGAGCCCGAGCACGTCTCGTTCCGCTCGAGCGAGGACGAAAACATCGATTCCTGCTCGATTATCTCCTCCGGCGACGACTCTGTCGACAGCACGCCGACGGGCCTCCGGGCCCACGACGAGTACGCCACAATCGAGCTCATTCGCCCGGAAGCAATCTCCGACCTCCGAAGCATCGCGAATTCGATGTTCGACTCGAGCTACGGCCGTGAGTGCGTCCAGGCGTTCGCGAGCGCTCGGAAAGACGACGACTGCCTCTCCGCGCTCGGTTTCGAGAGGCTCGGCGTCGAGGACGTCCTGAAGATGGAGTGGGGCGCCCTCGACTCGAGGATCCGCCGTTGGGTCCGCGCGTCGAAGCTCTTCGTCCGCGTCCACCTGGCGGCCGAGCGGGCCCTGGCCGACCGGGTCCTCGGGCCCGCCGGGCCCGCCTGCTTCTCCGAGTCGGCCCGGCCCGCTTTCCTCTCCCTGCTCGACTTTGCCGACGCCATCGCCGCCATCGGGCCCCACGGGCCTGAGAAGCTCATTCGGATCCTTGACATGCGCGAGGCCCTTTCGGGCCTCGGCCCGGACTTGGAAACCCTCTTCGGTCACGGCCCGAATGCTATTCGGGCCGAGTGCGCGGACGTGCTAGCTCGGCTCGACGGGTGCCTTCGGGCCACTTTCCTCGAATTCGAGACGGCCGTGGGGTCGAACGTCTCGTCGGGCCCGTTTCCCGGCGGTGGGGTCCACCCGCTCACGAAATACGTCATGAACTACATGCTAACCCTAACGGACTACGACGAAACCCTAAACGAGGTCCTGCGGGACCCGCAAGGCCCGGATCAAGAAGATGGGTCGACAATGGGTCGGCACTTTCGGGCCCTTACGTTGATTCTCGAGCGGAATCTGGAAGGGAAATCGGGCCTGTACAGGGACGAGGCCCAACAGCACCTTTTCTTGATGAACAACGTGCATTACATGGCGGAGAAAGTGAAGGGGTCGGAGCTGAGGAAAGTGTTCGGGGACGATTGGATAAGGAAGCACAACCGGCAGTTCCAACAGCACGCAGTGAATTACGAGCGTGCCACGTGGAGCTCGATTATTGGTCTGCTGAAGGACGAGGGCTTGCAGAATCCGGTTTCGAGAGGGGTTTTGAAGGAGAGGCTGCAGAGGTTTTACGGCTCGTTCGAGGAGGTTTACAAGAGCCAGACGGGTTGGTCGGTTAGGGACGGGCAGCTTAGGGAAGATTTGAGGATATGGACTTCGCTTAATGTGGTGCAGGCTTACAGGACTTTTGTGGGGAGGCATATGAATCATGTTAGTGAGAGGTATGTGAAGTACACGGCAGATGATTTGGAGGAATATGTGCTTGATCTTTTTGAAGGGTCACAGAAGTCTTTACATGGGGGGCACAAGAGGTGAGATCTTAAATTGGAACTGTTTTGGGATTGTTGTAGTAATTGAAGNTTTAGTTTTTGTGTTCGAAATTTGGACCGTTTTAGTGTTGTGGTATAAAAGAGAAAGCCATAACTTGTATCATCCAATAACTTCTGTAATTTATTGTCAGTTTAGTAGATTAACTTTTGGGGCCTTTTTTCTTTTTTAGGGTGGTTGGCTGTTTTTGTGTTAGTGTATGCCTTTGAACTTCCGTTGGTGGCCTTTTTGAGGAGGGGATAAATTTTACATCATACTTTTAAAACTCGGGTCGATTTGGACTGGATTCTCGGGTCTTCGGATCATCCGGCCAATTGTCATATTACTGGTCAATTGTTGAACCTTATAATTAAAATTAAATTATTTTTATATTATTTTTATCTTATAACTATACATAAAATAATAAGAATAAACTATTTATATGTAAATATTATACCCAAAAGTATTAACAATGTTGTATTTTGTCACAAATATTTACCACATAAATATACATAATTTTATTTATAATAATAAAAAGGTAAAAAAAAAAGTAATTGTTTAGTCAAACTAAGTTGACATGTCCAGGTCAATACCCTGATCGACCAAGACTTGATCGACCCATCGGGACGGTCCGTGTTTCAAAACAACGATTTCCTTTACATAGAATTAAGATACTTTTAAGAATTAATCAACTATTACAAGTTTACAACACATTCGAAAAAAAAAAAAAAANAAATGACCACATTCCAAAAATTTCCATAAAGTGGTCTTTTAGAGGTTTTTTTATACCAAAGAATCTAAAGAAATTTCCAAGCTATTGCAAACCCTCCAACCTTTAGAAAAATATCCACCATTAATTGATTTTTGAAGTACATGACGCTTATGAACATATGCTACTCGATCTAGCAATTGCAGAGTCTCATTCTTAATCCATCACATTCAACATGTAACCGATTACTAAACAACCATAACAAGAGCACAATAATAAGGAAGTATTCAAATGTATTTGAATATCATATTGAAACTCATTTTTTAACTAGTCTACAAATATTAATTCCATGATCATATGTTCATTCTCAAAATCGGGCGATAATAAGGCCTGCCTGAGCCAATTTTCAAGCCTTGTTTTCGACCTTTCGTGCAATTCTTCCCTGATTACGAGACGTTTAAAATTTGAATCTGATCATTTTGCAACAATCACGAGCTTATTTTTCGTTTTATGATACAAAATCAACTATTCATGTCGCTACTGAGCTTTGGATAGTTGTGGTTTCAATAATGCCAAGTTTAAAGAATTTTTTATTGAATATTTTTTTCAAAAGGAAACTTTGAATAGAAAGTACAATAGGCCATTGGAATATGTGTGCTTTTAAAGATTCATATATTCTACTATAATTATTGGATATAATTATTTTTTTATCGGGCTATACAACAATAAAACTTGATAACAAGGTTGAAATACACAATGTAGTTTCCAATAGTTGAAATAAATTGCTTATAACTTAATTTTCTCCCTTTTTGTGCATTCACATAATCACATTTCAAAGGTCATTACTACAAGTTTGAATTTCCTAGTGTCTAGAATATTTTCTCAACTTATAGTCATGATTTGAGTGTCCAAACATGGCATTCGTGCCAAAAAAATGTGCGAAATTGTCAAATTTGTGGTGCCATGCATGATATAAAATATTAAAAAGTAACTTTTTTTTAGGTCACATGCAAAGGAAAAAATAAAAAATAAATAAATATAATATTAGACATTTCTACATTTTCTTGCTTATATTTTGCTTTCAAATCTCCCAAACACACACTAGTATGACAACCCCCCACCCCACCCAACACATACACGCAAAGTTGTCCACGGGAAAGAAGGTTTTTGTTCAGGTTTTGGTTTCAACCGACTCGATGGGTTCAAGAGTATATTAAAAACAAAAGTACTTGTTGACCCGTTTTCTCAATGAGGCCCATCGACCAGGCGGATCGAGTGAATTTTGGCCGTTGATCTTGCAACAAATACAATATCCAAATGTCGAAATTAACAAGTATTCAACGACCCAGAACCGGATATAAAAATTGAAATTGAAAAAATCGACACCAAGGCCAACGGGTCAAGCCAGTTTTGGGTTGGGCAGAGACCTATCGTGTCAAAATACTTCGAAGACTTTATCTTGGTTCGGAATTATGGTCAACAAGTCTGGGTCGGCTAGTCAATGTGTCTAATCTTCAATGGAAGAATAAAATTTAATGTATGATAATATAATTTAATGATTTGTTGTTCATCTTTATATATATAGTTTAGACATTGCATTTAATTCTTACAAGTTACAACTTATATTATATATAATGAATGAACTTTATATTTTAACACCATAAATCATTCCTTAATCAAAGTCATTTTAAATTTTGTTTGGATCGATTAATGAAACATATGGAAATTACCATAACAGGTTTTATTAATTTTGTTTTAGAATGGTGATTTGATTTTGCCATAAACATTATTTTTTCTCTTTTTATTTCAAAATCAATGTTCTTCTATTCATAACATTTATAATTCTTTACTGTTTTCCTGATTTATCTCTCATAAATTGATGAATTAATTTTTTTTTATTTTTTTTTTGTCTTACCAATTTTATACTTTCTTTTCTCTTTTCTTCCTCCTAAGAGCATCTTCAATGCTCAAATAGTATTGTGGTTAATTACATTCCATATCAACACATTAAGCAATGTCACAACTTTTCAGACTTCAATGTACAATGTGATCACAAATATTGCCGTGACATGGACATAATTAATGTTTACAATGTAGAGAAGAATGTGGTTCATCCACATTCTCTTCCACACTCTATCTAGCTAATGGAGAGAAGAGAGATAATTATTTTTAACAATTCAAACAATTTAATTATTAAATTAATTTATTACTAAATATTATAAATTTTTAATATTTGGTAAGTAGAGAATATTGGTGTTAAACTACATTGTGCATTGGAGATAATTTTGAATTTTATAGTTGTAAACTTAACATTTTTCCAACATAGTTCACAATTCATTTAATTTATTGACACATGTCAAAAAAATTTCTATAACAAAGAGCATTGAAGATGTTCTAATCTTCTTAATTGTTTGAATTTCTCTTCTTACTTATTTCATTATAAAACTTCATTTCTGTTTTTGATCCAATGGCAAATTATGAACTTCAGTAATTTTAAATTTGAAATGGACAATGACCTGGATAGGCCGTGTTACCCGGTCATTGGTAGGATCGGGTCACTGCGTAAATTGTTTAAATGGATAATTAATTTTAAAATATAAAAACCATATAATTTTTATTTTTTTAATAATTAAATTAAAGTTAATTAAAAATAATAGAAACCCAAATAAAATAAAAATAGAGTAAAAAGAGAGATTAAGACAAAAAGTTCCACTAATTAGGTTAATTAAAATCAAAACCAAAATTAAAAAACTAGAAACAGTGAGAGAAGAGAATGAAACAGTCGAAAAGAAAACAGAGATTTTGATGAAAACGTTAACAGCTGCAACGCGTTTCTTCTCTAATAACAAACAAGATACAACAGCCGCTGTTCCTCTCTCTCTCTCTCCATTTTCCACTCACAATTTTCCAATTAACGAAAAGCAGAAAAAGGCGAACCCCAAAATCTGGGCTAGGGTTTGGGTTTCTTGTATGGTCGTTGGTGGAGACGAAGGGTCGGGCTTTTTGAGGACCCTTTACCGGTCTCAGTAATGGGTCGTTCCTCTTTTGCCACAAAATGGACCCTCCTCGGCAAGCCGTTGCATTTGTTGGTCTTCATCTGCGTTTTGCTCTCAGCTCAAAACAACGAGGTTTGTGCATTCGATTCGGACAAATTCGCTCTGTTGGACTTTAAGGCGTCGCTGTCGGACCCTTACGACTTGCTCCGCAGCTGGAGTTTGCAGAATCCGAATCACTGCTCGTGGTTCGGGGTTTCTTGTGATTCGGGTTCTCGGGTCGTATCCTTGATTGTTGCTGGTGGAGGTAATTCCCTTTCTTGTGAAAGAATTTCTAGGTTTCCGCTTTATGTGTTTGGAATTAGGCGACGACCTTGTTTGCGCCGAGGTTGGAGAGTTAAAATCTTAGGTAGACTTTCAGCTGCTGTTGCTAGGCTTAGTGAGCTCAGAATTTTATCTTTACCCTTCAATGAGCTAAGTGGTGAAATTCCTTTCGAAATTTGGGGAATGGAGAAGCTCGAAGTGCTTGACCTCGAGGGAAATTTAATTTCAGGCTCATTGCCCGCTCAGTTCAGTGGGTTGAAGATTTTGAAAGTTCTTAATTTGGGATTCAATGAAATTTCTGGGGAAATACCAGGTTCATTGTCGGAATCTTTGGGAGTCCAAGTTTTGAATTTGGCTGGGAATCAAATTAATGGTTCAATCCCGGGTTTTATCGGCAGGTTTAGAGATTTGAGAGGGTTGTACCTTTCATATAATCTGCTTGGTGGATTTATACCCGATGAGATTGGGGATAATTGTTGGAACCTCGAGCATTTGGATCTTTCTGGTAATTACTTGGCCGGGAGTATTCCAAAAAGCATCGGGAACTGTAAAAGGTTAAAATCTCTTATTCTGTACTCGAATATATTGGAGGAAGTTATTCCAGGCGAACTCGGCCAGTTGAGCCAGCTCGAAATTCTCGACGTGTCGAGGAATAATTTCGGCGGCCCTATACCTCCCGAGCTCGGTAATTGCACCAAGTTATCTGTACTCATACTGTCGAATTTATGGGATCCTTTTTTCGATCTTTCGAGTTTAGGAGTCGGTTATTCGGAGGAGAAGCGGTTGTACTCTGCTGATGAGTACAATTTTTACGAAGGTACAATTCCATTGGAAATCACTCGCCTATCTAGCTTGAGGATGGTGTGGGGCCCGAGGGCGACTCTGGAAGGAAGCATTTATAGTTGGGGCTCGTGCGAAAGCTTGGAGGTATTGAATTTGGCTCAGAATTATTACTCGGGAAAAATCTTGGACGGCCTTACCAACTGCACGAAGCTTCGTTTTCTTGATTTGAGCTACAACAGACTAAGTGGTGAAGTTGTTGATAATAACATTCCCGTTCCTTGTATGACTCTATTCGATATCAGCGGGAATTATTTCTCCGGTAATTTTCCCACTTTTAGTAACAAACCTTGCTATCCTGTCCAGTACATGAATCGGAAGTTTTCATATTCGTCCACTTATGTATCATATTTCAGATACAAAACTCTTATCGAAAACTCTGCACCGTTTTGCGACAATTATGATGGCAGCAGATTCATGATCGTACATAATTTCAGTTCGAACAATTTTACGGGGAATGTTTATTCGACACCTGTTGCATCGGAAATACTCGGCAAGCATTCTGTTTATGCGTTTCTTGCCGGTGGAAACAAGCTGACCGGAAGCCTTACCGGAGCTTTTTTCGACAAGTGTGATCAGGCAGGAAGTATAATACTCAACCTAACAAACAACATGTTGACCGGTCAAATCCCAGCCGATATTGCCTCGACATGCAAGAATCTGATTGTCCTGGATTTATCCGGCAATCGGTTTTCCGGAAGCCTTCCTCCCAATACCGGTGACTTGATTTCACTTCTCGTCCTCAATTTGAGCCGGAATTTACTATCGGGCCCCATTCCTAACAGCCTCGCCGGAATGAAGGATCTAAAATCCCTCTCGCTGGCCGGAAACAACTTGGACGGTCCTATTCCGGCAAGCTTGGGACAACTGTACTCCCTCGAACTGCTCGACTTATCTTCCAATTCACTTTCCGGCGAAATCCCGGAAAATCTCACCAACTTGAGAAACCTGAAAGTTTTCCTCTTGAACAACAATAATCTGACCGGAGGACTACCCCTCGAACTACCAAACATACCCACCCTCTCGATTTTCAACGTGTCCTTCAACTATTTATCCGGAACTCTGCCCATAAACAACACCATGATCAAATGCAACAGTTTTATCGGTAACCCTTCTTTCCACTGCCCGGTTCTCTCGAAGTCTCCTTCCTTTACAGCCCAACCGAGCCAAACGGCGAACCCGAATAGCAATTCATCCTTTTCCTCAAACACTACTCAGAGAAAAAATCACGGCGAGTTCAAAACCGTCGAGATAGCCTCCATAACTTCTTCGGCAATCATAGTCTCGATCCTTCTCGCCTTAATTGTCCTCTTTTTTTACACCCAAAAATGTAAACCAAGGTCTCGAGTAAACACGGCCGTCAGAAAGGATCTCGTTGTCTTCACCGATATAGGAGTCCCCTTAACTTTCGAAAAAGTCGTTCAATCCACCGGAAATTTCAATGCGAGCAACTGCATTGGGAGCGGAGGATTCGGGGCGACGTACAAAGCCGAGATCGCGCCAGGTGTCCTCGTGGCAATCAAGCGCCTCTCGATCGGCCGATTCCAGCTAGGCGTCCAGCAGTTCGACGCCGAGGTAAAAACGCTCGGCCGATTACGCCACCCGAACCTCGTGACACTAATCGGGTACCACGCTAGCGAAAACGAGATGTTCTTGATTTACAACTATTTGCCAGGTGGCAATTTGGAGCGGTTTATTCAGGAGAGATCGACCCGGCCCGTCGATTGGCGGGTTCTCCACAAGATCGCTTTGAATGTAGCGAACGCGCTAGCCTACCTGCATGACCGCTGTGTGCCACGTGTACTCCACAGAGACGTGAAGCCAAGTAATATACTGCTAGACGAGGGTTTTAATGCGTATTTATCGGATTTCGGGCTGGCTCGACTTTTAGGGAACTCAGAGACACATGCCACGACTGGTGTGGCGGGGACTTTCGGTTATGTGGCGCCGGAATACGCGATGACGTGTCGGGTTTCGGATAAGGCTGACGTGTACAGTTACGGTGTGGTTTTGCTAGAGCTGTTTTCGGATAAGAAATTGCTCGACCCATCGTTTTCTTCGTATGGGAATGGGTTTAATCTCGTGGCTTGGGGGTGTATGCTTCTGCGTGAGGGCCGGGCCAGGGAGTTTTTTGCGAGTGGGCTTTGGGATGTGGGCCCTCACGATGATTTGATTGAGGTGCTGCATTTAGCGGTGGTTTGTACGGTGGAGTCGCTTTCGACGAGGCCGACTATGAAACAAGTGGTTAAGCGGCTGAAGCAGCTTCAGCCGCCATCTTGTTAGGGAAAAGGGTTGAATTTGTAGCTCCTTGTAAATTCACAGTGTAGTTTTNNAGTCTTGATGATAGGTAGGTTTAGAGAGTGCAGATAGTTCGTTTTTTTCGCACATTGTTGTATACTTGTAGCTCTTTTGCTATTTTGTTGTCTGAGAAAATGAGATTTCTGAGGAAGAAGAAAAAGAAAAAGAAAAATCTTTTTTCATGCTTGAGTGTGAGATCATGTGGTTAAAGGCCTCTCTCCTTATGATAGCACCAAAGCAGGGTTGAATCTTTCTTGTAAAGAGATATCAGGTAATGCTTGTTTTTGCAGATTGAACTTCTGTTAGAATGTGTGTAATATTTCCTTCGTTGATCGATTTTCAATGATTTTGAGGCTTTGGCTTTTGGTTTGGGGGAATTTCGGGTCTATGGCTCTTGTTTTGGGGGAAATTTTGATCGATTTTTAATGATTTTGAGGCTATGGCTCTTGCTTTGGGGGAAAATTCGGGGCTTTGGCTCTTGCTTTGGAGGAAAATTCGACCACACATCGTGTGGTGTTGAATTATTATAAATTTTAACAAAAAATGTGGAGAGTATATAGGGTGGGTTAGTCTATGTGGCAAAATTGATAAGCTAGTTGATAGTTTATAAGTAATTTTTGAGTTCATATCTCATATTTTATGAATTATAGCTGAAAAACTAACTTATATAAAAAATTGTGTGGTAAAATTCGGTGATCAATTGACTGAAATAAAAATTTCAACAAATTTATTTGAAAAGTTACCCAAAGAAACTTATGAGATACTTTCGAGTTATTTTAAAAAAAATTGTCCTACCAAATAATGTTTGAGGCATATTTGAATACAATAAACTTATAAGCTTACCAAATTAGTTATTTAAGCTTTATTTGAATAAAGTAGACTTAATAGTAATTGATTTGATGCGCAGACGAAATAGAGAATCCAACTGGAGAGTATTTAGCAACATATCTAGTGTAATTCCACCATTTCAGATTAGATAGTTTTAGAAACACTAATATATATGTTGATTGGGTTCAGATTGTACTAAAATGGTCCATAGTTTTATTAAAAGATGAATAAAAACTGAAGAAAATAAAATAAAACAAGAGAGGTGAGTGTTCAAGTGGGAGGATTTGACAACATTACATTTTAACATTTACCAAAAATTTCTAGTGGATTATATACAATTTTACAACATCAGACAAAACATAGAGCAATCCAAAATGATTTTAACTGAAAAGAGCTACAGATCCCTTGAAGGTCACAACTCACAACATAAAGCTTTTCCTTACAAACCCTTTCTTCTTCTTTCCCATACATTAAACAAGTCCTCAAACTCTCAAAACCTAAAGTCTACATAGTTTTTTGCAACCTAGTACAAGAGGACATATCACAAAAGGGGAAAAGGGTTGACAACAATATGCTTCAACGGGTGCTCCACGTCACCACGAACCCCACCATGCTCGAGAAACTCCTTTGGCGTGAAAAACAAGCCGTGGCATACACACACGATTTTAACATCCTCGCCTTTTTTGTAACCGTACAAGAATCCTTCGACTCTACGGCCATTAGGCCCGACTTCTCTAGTGGTCACATATGGCATGTCGCGCATCGTGTTCTTGACGTGTTGACACGTGGCGCTTTTTGCTTCTCTCTCGAGGGCTCGGCCAGCTGGCTCGTGTCCCTTTGGAATCTGCCTGCTGGAACTCGAAGGCGACACCTCAGCATTTTGTTTCGACCCTGTGTAATAAAAAGGACAAGAAAAATTGACTCGAACATGAATACGATGAATGATGGCTTATGTATCTCACAAGCTTAAGGAAAATATTCAAACTGCTCGACAAAAAATAGTTGTACAATCTCGGAGATAATATATGATTTGATTTTCAGTGTGCCAAATGAATAAGCCCTAGATTCACTTCCTCTATTTTGTACTTCATGGGATAACATTTAAGAAAAAGAAATAATCATGATATAGATATAAGTATTAAAACACAGAGATCAAGTAATTGTTCACTTAAAAACAATGTAGGAAGTTAATTTTGTGGCAAGCCAATGCAAAGCCACATTTATTTATCTACTATGAGTGGATGAAAACCAATACCTCATGCTCATTCACTGAGTAACATAATCAAAAGCTAAAAAAAATCTGAATTTTCAATTTCAGCTATATATTTTCTACACCCCAGCAGGGAGCAACTGATTGAAACTAACTAACGATCGACGGTCGAGCATGTGACGAAATCAACTGAAGTCAAACATATGAATTTCAGACATTTTACAGCCTTCACATAATGTCTAGGTGCATAATTTCAGCTATTTTCGACTCGTTATACAGTTCTTACAAAGAATGCATATTTTCATATGAAAAAATTAGTAGCGTTAGCCAAAAATAGAAATGCTCACTCGCAGAGTAGAAATCGACAGAATTCGATTTGATCTGTGAATGCAAAACATCTCATTCATCATGATACAAAGAGCTGCACCAAGATAAACAAAATTCAAACCAATAACACCAAATGCACAAATTCCAGCATCCAAAACAGAATAATACCAAACAAGATAAACAAATATCAAACTAAAAGACCCATCATTTATCATCAAATCATCTTCTTCAATCTTCATCCTTTCCTAACCAGACTAAAAACCCCAAGAAATTTGTGTTTACCTTCAATTAGATCAGACGAGCCAGACGAACCGCTCCTCATCGGCCCACCCGACCCTTGAGACGACGACTCGACAGCCTCGCGCGGCGGAACATTTCTCCCTCCGCCGCCGGCGTCCCTCGGCGGCACCCTCAGATTCCTCATCCTCTCCATCCTTTTCCTCCTCGCCTCCATCCGCCTCGCCGTCAGCATCTCCCTACGCCGGCGCCACTCCTCCTCCGTCCCCGCCGGCAGGGACCGCGTCCTCGACAGCGGCGCGTGCAAATCGACCCCCGCCACGCGCACTTGGGGCCCCGCCTTCGCCAGGGCCACGTCCGCTATGGACGAGCAGCGCTTCAGCTTCTTGCTCCTGGTGGGGTCCACCCCGAACCTCCCGTTCATCGACAGGCCCAGGCCAAGCTCCACGTCCTCGTCTTCTTCTTCTTCCTCCGCCGAAGGCTTCTTGTTCTCGGTAGGGCACTCGCTGCGTATTTTCGTGAATCTGCGGAGCAGATCGATTATTTCTCTGTTTTCCTCAGCTCCCTCCATTTAATAGTTGTTCGAGCTCGAGAAAGGGTTGCAATTTTTGGTGGGGATAAACCCAAATTTCAGTTGGGGCTCACCTTGTTTGCCGGGGAAAATGGATAAAGATTGGATTTTGTTTCTCAATTCAAGAAAGGGAAAAATTGAGAGAGGGGGAGAGAGAGAGAGAGAGAAGGGAGGAACAGAAAATACTGGGTTTTCAAGGGGTCAATCGGAGAACAAAAGGGGCCATCGGAAAAATGATGGAAGCCATTAGAGATAGCAAGCTTGAATTTCTGTATGATTGAAGGGCGGAAGAAAATGTAAAGAAATAAAACAAAAATGGCGGAGAGTGAATGAAAGGAGAGAGGAAGGATATATTTTTATGTTTTAATTCATTTTTTGGGGGGTAAAATTGTGAAAAAATGGAAAAGGTGTCGAAAGCGTAACGTAGAAGGGCGAGGAGGGCGACACGTGTTGGATGTAAGATGATTTGGGTAGCGACACGTGGTTGAGACAAGCAGTTTTCGAGGATAGACCTTTGCTATTTTTCTTTTTTTCTTTATTTATATATAAACTTAATTAATTGATTAATTATTTTGAACCAACAAAAGAAGCTTTTGCATCTGCTTTTATTCACAAGTTGCCACCTTCGTCTGTCTCGCTTCGACACGCCGCTGCTATTATTTATTCTAAATCCTTTTTCTGTTTCTGTTTTTTAATAATTGAGAGCCCCTTCTAACGTTGTAATATTATCGAATAATTTTTATACTATTTTATTCAAAACCTAATTTAAATATAATTAATTTAACTAAAATCCTTCATTATTATCTTTATAAAATGCATTTCCACGGAAAAATATTACAGAAGAAAAAGTAATAAAAAATATAAATAAAATTAAAAATCATAATTTAATTAATGAAAGAAAAAAGATTTAAGATAGTAAATCTAAATATTATTAAACACTTATTTATAAACAATATCTGTGATTTTTCTATCGTCAAAATCTCCATCATCATAATCCATTATTTTCAAATTGAAACTTTGTAATATATAAAATTAATAAAAATTATAACAAGCCTCAAGTCTTCAAGGACAAACTCAATGATCTTTTCTCAACACCTTTCGATGGTTTGTACGTTTTGGTACATCACGATGCGATTTATATCAACAAAATAATAATCTATACAATTATCAAAACAATTCAAGATTATAAAAAGTAAGAAAAATAAATAATAATCTTAGAGAAATTTTACAAATAAGCACAGTTGGGTGAATGGTGCTGCCATGGCTCAATTCACTGAATTTTTGTAAGTTGATGACGTATCTTGGAAAAAATTCGTCTCCAGCTAAAACCAATTACGTTCTTTGGTAAAATAAAAATGTATAATAATTTGGTATGGTCTAATAAATGTTGCGGTCGCGTACTTTATTGAATCAAGTTAATTCATAAACTTCACTTTCCTTCAAATTGAGTTTAACAAATTTTTGACAGCAAACACGCGGGAGTTGTTGCGTGAAGATGTGCACCCTATAAAAAAAATAATTTAAATAACAAATTAAAATAAATACATTTATCTTATCAAAATGAAAACCGGAAAAATAAAGTTTACCAAATTAAAATTAACTCAAAGTCATAGGAGACAATTCCAAGTTTTCAATCATATTCAGATTTTCAGGATCGACTTTGAGTTGAAATTGAATCAGTCGGAGAAGAATACCTGGTCTTTGTTCTCATCCAACACCCTGAGTTTGCCAAATGTAAGAAAAAATTGGTTTTGTACCGATTTAACGATTTCTACTTTTCGTAAGTAGAAGACTTAGAAATTCTCAAAACCTTTTTAAGGTGAATGAGAAATTATTTTTAAGTGTTATATGTTAATTAATTGAGTTTAAATAATTCAAAGGTTGTAGGGTTCACAAACATTCTGTTTTGACAAATGTTTGGACGAACTAAACGAGCCATAATCATGCATTATGTATGCTAGAATTGTAGAAGGGCTCATTGCGGACAAGTAGGAAAAAACAGAACTCGATTCCGAGTCCGTATGAGCTCGTACGAGCCCGCGGCGCACGGCCGCGCAACTAGCTGCGGATATCAAAGGGTCGTAACCCTTGGTGACCATAAGGTATCTTTTGGCCACTAGATGCATCCGTTCTCGTTCGGGTACGTCCCAAAATGTGTCTTTTGATACTTAAACCTCTTAGAAGTATTTCCCTACATCTATAAATACCCACATACTTGAAATCATTAATGACTTGAAAAGTGAAGAGCTCTTGCATTATATTTTCAAAGTTTATAAAGTATATTGTATTCTTTGATTTTTTCGTTGAGTCTTGAGAGTTCCAAACAATAGTAGTGTTCGCCGAAGGCTTGTATATTTGAAGTACCGCTATATACAAGTCGAAAGTCGTTGTATCTTGGAGGCGTTTGTCGTAAACCGTGGGTATTTTATGGGGCAATTTCGTCTTAAGGAGAACGTAATTGTTACGTGCCTCGACTTTGATTTTTTGTTTGTTTTCTTCATTCTCCTTAAGCCGTCTTTTTGATATTCACAAACAACAAATATACTACACCAAACTTATGTAACCATTGAAAAAATAGGATGAAAAATGATTTGAGAATAAGATTATGCAAATGTAGCTTGATAGGAGAATTAAGTTGTAGCGATTGATTGGTGAAAGTTGACACCAATTTATAGGCTTATACATTCGCTGTTGTTTTAATTACGAGAATTTGCAACTGTAATTATTATATTAAGTTATCAATATTAAGAAATAATAAATAACTAAAATAAAATATTAAAGAGTGCAAAGTATGTGGGGATATTTACATGATAGTAATCAAAACTGGTATGAGTTTTACTTATTTTCTAATATAATAGGTTGTATTTTTTTTTAATTTTTTTAGTTTACATACGCCTTTTGTAATTGTAAAATAAGAAAGTGAACATTTTTTTCTCTTATTTTGGCAGGAAGAAATTAGGGTTGGAGGAGCTGGTGAAATAGTTATTCATTGTTATTTGTGAATTTCTCCATTTTCTGAATGTGTTGTATTTATTGTAATGTAGTTTTTTTTTTCTGCATGATTATTGATTTAGTGAGAATATCAAAACCAATATGATCTTCCAAAAAAAAAAATTGGATGTTTTTGTAAATTAATTAGCTAAAAATGTGAGAATGAAATCAGTTTTTAGCATAATCAATCATTCATTAATTAGTGAACTCGCTAATGTTTTAATTAAATAAATAGTTTTTGTAAATTGCATTGTAATATTTTTAGGCACTATGGTTAATAGACATTAAAAGAATTAATGGGATTTTTGCTAATTGACATCATTAATTACATGGGTAAAATAATTTTTGGTAATTAAAATTACAATAATGTGATTATTGTGCAGTATTGTAACTAAAAAGAAAAAAAAAATCATATGTACAGGTTTTTGGCTGGAATGCTACATATGTTTTATTTAATAAGTTTTATTAAATGATTTACTAACAATTAGGTATGTCAGTATTTAAAATGAGAGTTATATAATAGTTTGATTGAGTTTTAAGTTAAATGATTGAATGTGAAAGAACTAAATCGATCATAATCAATTTTATCTGTTATAATTCATATCCTAAAAATCCAAAGTCCATTGAATTATAAAAATTGCACAATCTCCCATAAAATCCAACAAAGTCATACTTTTTAAAAAGTGCTAAAAAGTTCTTACAAACTTCAACTAAAATGTCCCGTATGTTGTATACGATTTTGCTAGTGGAACCCACCTTCTATATACAATAAGTAAACAATATCATATGAATGAAATATGGTATAATTTACTTATTGTATATAGAAAGTTGCTTCCACTATGAAGTCATCCGTTAGATATACCGATGTTGTCTAATTGCAAAGCCTAAGTTGGATTTAAGGTGTGATTGATGGAAGATATTTCTTTTTTTTTTTTTTCTAAATTATTTCAGTACAAATTAGAAATGATAAAATTATAAAACCTAATTAAAAAAAGGCGTTATAATTTATAAAGGAATATAAAATTAAAATATAACGGTTATTTGAATTAATAATAAAATAATAATTAAAATATATAAAGAGAAAAACAATTTATACTTATGTATGTGATTATAATTATTATTTGTGTGAGTGGGGTTGTAGGTAAAAAAAAGTTTATAAGGAAATAAATGATATATTTTGTGAAAATTTTTGTTTCATTTCTTATTTCAATAAGATAATATTACATTTAAAATACATGATAAATCACATTTAAAAAATATATAAATAATAAATTACGAGTCATAAAATAATAAAAAAGTATTTAATAATTACACCTAAAATATATGAGTAGTTACCAAAGCTTTAATTGATAGTATATATGAGTAGTTACCAAAGCTTTAAAATATATGAGTAGTTACCAAAGCTTTTATAGATAAAACATAAAATAAACCCATAGCATTTTTTTATAAAATAAAAATGTTTCGTTTCTAATTTTAACAATGTGAATGTTAATTGACCAAATAAAAATATAACAAAATAAATCCAACCGCCACGTAAATCTCTAGTAGCAATAATTGATCAGACAAATAGTACAATATCATAAGAATTCATTCAACGTGGGATCATGAACATATACAAGTCGTGTATAAACAATTAATCTATATATGTCGATTGTTGTACTAAAATGGTCCATACTTTTATTAAAAGATAAATAAAAATTGAACAAAAGAAAATAAAAGAAGAGAGGTGAGTGTGCAAGTGGGTGGGTTTGACAACATTCATTGACTCATTGTCCCCACCTTTTTTTTTTTCCCCTAAAAAAAACCATGTTCTCGAGATTGGTTTTTGACTCCAAAATAAAAATAAATTTTATGCAAGTTGCCCAACAAGTGACCTTAATGTAATTCCCATATAGCCAACTAAATCAGCATTTACAATGTATTCGGTCTAATTTGGCTACAAGTATTAGATGACATAGATAAGATTATATAAAATTAATAAAATTTATTTCAATGCAAAGAGACTAGGTCTCTACTTGGGTCTAAAATAGACTTAAGGGTAGACCGAGTCTTTTTTTTTTACTGTCACATCAGGAAGACCCAATTTACTTTTGTTTGTATTGGAGAATACATTTTTTTTGCTAGTTCTATTTCTTAGAGCATCCACAATGCTTTGGGTTCAATCCCAAAAAATTGTATGATATCTAAGAAATAGACCCAGTCTTAAAAAATGTGTTCTCCAATGCAAATAAAAGTAGACTGGGTTCTGTTGATGTGGCACCCAGAAAAAGAGACTCAGCCTCCCCTTAAGTCTATTTTAGACCCAAGTAGAGACCTAGTTTCTTTGCATTGCAGTAGATTTTGTTCATTTTACATAATTTTATCCATGTCATCCAAGACTTGGGTTTATTTACATGCCACATAGGCAAGACTAGACCTAGACATGTCCACGGGCCGAATCGGTCCAGGAACCGACCCGCGAACCGGTCCCGGCCCGGACCAAACTGACCTCTTAAGGGCCTGTTCGTTGAACCGGACCCGTAGGGTCGCGGTTCGGTTAAGGTTAGCTATTTATTTTTTTGTCCCGGCGGGCTGGGTCGGGCCGGGCCGGGTCGACGGGTTGGATGGCGGTCGGCAATGTATTTTTTAGCGGGCCGCACTGGCCCGGAACCGGCCAAAAACCGGCGGATCTGTGACCCGGCGGTTCAGGGCCGGTTTGGACCCGCGGCCCTTAGAAAATGCGAGCCGGTCAAGGGTCATGAAATTGCGACCCGTGGACCCAGCGGGCCGGGCCAGGCCGTGACCCGGCCCGTGGACTGGCCACCCCTAACTAGACCCAATGCATTGTAGATGCTAGCATACAATTTTTTGTGATTGAACTCAAAGCATTGTGGATCTTTATTGAGTGCGTGCTTGTTTACAAATTAATCCGCTTAAAATAAGTTTTTTAGTTAATTATGATTAATATTAACATACGTGGTATATTTAGTTGTTGGTAAAATTTTGAGTTTATACCTTTTAATATAAGTATAGATACATATCAACCCTATATATTATTTTCACTAAAATGGGCACTCATGTTATGAGATTTACATTTATTAATTAAATATGGCCCCTCAATAAATAGATTAGAGTATGTTAGTATCCAATTATTTTGATTAAAAAAGTTGGCCAATCAAGACTATCTTAATCATATCATAAGTCACTAATGTTTATTTATGAAGGTAAGGGTTATTTTCATTAGTGAATTATAAAAGTATTCAAATGAAGATGGACATTAGCTGTGATTGGATTCGTGATAAGGGGTTCAATTGCTGAGGAACAGAAAAGAGCTCCTAAACTTGGGCTGGGCTGCACAAGAAGAAATGGCTAACAGTTGACAATGAAGGGCTTATTGGGCTAGGACTGAAATGGATCAACCGAGCCCATAGTGACAAAGTACAGTACAAGTTTTTACTGCTAGTCCATGGTAATATACAATGAACCGCAGTGTCCACATCCACTCTAGGGTTTTATCAAGATTAGATTATCGCCTTCACATGTCCGTCGGCCGCATTCACATTTATGGTTTCAATTAGCACCTAAAATCATTTCTATCCCTTTCGTCCCTTTTCATGAATTCCTGCTGCTAGAGCTTTTACTTTATTCTTTGGAATCTCAACTATAGCCTGAAGCTTTAGATTCTGGTGGTCTATATTGGCCAATTCAATTCATATTTGAATTTGAGAAAATGGCCACTTTAAACCCTTTTGGGCTTCTGGGTGATGATGATGCCGAGGACCCATTGCAGCTTCTTGCTGCCCAGCAGAAAGCTGCGGCGCCAACTCCAGCTAGGGCTCCTGCTCAATTGAAAAAAGGTCCGGTTAAAACTGAACCGGAGGCTAAGTTGCCGACCAAGCCAGCTCCTCCGGCACAGGCTGGTGAGTGATCGGAAAGCAGTTTTTTTATGTTGAAATGTGTTGTGTTGCTTATGTTTTTTTTGTCTAGGTCCGATTACCATTTTTTTTTCTTTTGGTATGATTCTCATTTCTGTCATTGTTTGTTATATGTAACCATAAAGTTTGTACGCGTTTTCAAATTGAACAAATTCAAAAAGTTTGTTCACGCACGCCTCATTTACCAGATTTTCTGTATGCGTTTTTCAAACTTTTAAAAGTAGATTAGATTGGATTAAAAATCTGACGCGATTTGTAATGAAGGAAAAACGGAAATATAAAGGAAACAAATTTTATCAACACTGTGATTTTTAATGAGCAAAAAACGGATCTGATTATTGCGTTACCACCACTGTCCGAAAATCTATTTTTAGGAATCATTAAATGCTGTTGGCGGAAAAACCTTGCTAAAAATGTAAAATGGTTAATCTTTTAATATAATAATAGATACGGTCGAGATCGATGGAGTTCTCCGTGGCCGGCGGAAGATATAGAAGATATCCTGATCGTGCATAATTCGCTCGGATCTGGGTAGATCTGTGGATTTTTGGGTAGATCTTTCATATGTATACACAGGTAAACCTTAATTCAATTTTATATTTAAGTTATATATTTTGTTGATTATATATTTAAGTTCTGTGATGAATTATTTACTAACTTAATTTCAATTTTTCTTTAAACAATTTGTTTAATTCCGACTCTACCCAAGTCAATGTCTTAAGCCGGGCCTGGTACACAACGGGAGCAACTCTTTTCTAATCGCGCCACTAAGGGTCCTCGTAGATCAGAGGAGACATGCCAGCCGTAAGTGATTTTTTTCCTATTTTAATTTTATTTTTAAAACATGACCAAAGTCCAAACGCAAAATAAAAAGCCCTCAAAAAATCCTCTCGCCAATACCATTCTCCATAAAACTGAAATTACCATTCTCCAGAAAACTGAAACTAAAAGAAAACCCTAACAACTACCATTCTCCAGAAAATGAAAATTGAAAACCTGACCATGATGAGATCCCTTCGACTGGTCAAAAATGGTAACATA